AATGATTTTGTAAAAATTTCAACGATTAAATTAAAATTAAATTAAATTGAATTAAATTATTTGATATCATTCTATTTAAATTTCAACTTTAATTTAATCCATTTCCAATTGCATCCATTTACATTTTCCGGGCTTTTTCCAAATCTTTTTTATATTACCAATGATTTTGTAAAAATTATCAACGATTAAATTAAAATTAAATTAAATTATTTGATATCATTCTAATTAACAGATCATTTCTGAACATTTGTATGATTTTATATTCTCAACTAGTTACAATGCTTTATTCCGCATAATTGAACAGAGGCATGACTATATGCTACAGTAATCCTGTTTAGTAACTGTTTTTTTGATGAGTATTTCAGTTCCTCTCACTTTATTTTTTAGAAAATTTGTTTAAACATTAAATTGTTTTTTTTTTTTTTTTTGGCTTAAGTGAAATTTATGCACTCAGTTGTTTTGTGATTTATTCTGAATTTCATCTTCCTACTGGAATTTTTAATTTTTTAATTTCTTGCATTTTTTTTGAAATGTATTTTTAGCTAGATTAGACAAAAAAAAAAAATGTTTGCAATTTATCCTACTGATACGAGAATTCAAAAATGTCAATGTCGCATCGATATCAAAGAAGTATCATTGTCACATTGCAATCCAAGAAGTATTAATATCATCAGAATAGAATTCAGGAAGCATCAATATCACATTAAAATCCGAGAAATATCAATATCATCTCAGAATCCATGATATACCACCAATTTCACATCAGAATTCAAAAATTATTAGTGTCGCATGAGAATCCAAGAAGTATTAGTGTCATAACAGAATCGAAAAAGCGATTAATACCATATCAAAATTCAAGAAGTATCAATGTTATCAGAATTTACGAAGTATTAATATTACATTAGAATCCAAATGTCAATGTCACATTTAGAATCCATTCAAAATCTTATAAATCTCTGGATGATTTAACCTTTATTTTAATAAATTTTTAGCGATTGTTAAATTAACATGAAATATTATTCAAATGTTCTATCAATCTTTAATCATGCTATTATCTCCATCTTATCATTCAGCTTATCTTATCATCATTTCTGTTATCATTTAATGAATTACTTTAAAGAATGAGTGCTCGAAGTCGACGAGATTTGGAAAATCGAGAATTGGAATCATTAGCACAATGTTTACCACTTGCTGCTGCTATAACATTTCAACTTGATAAGGTAAAAAAAAAAACGCAAAATTTGATATTAAATTTTTTTCTTTTTGAAATGAAATAAACTTAAATAAATATGTAAAACAGAAGTTGTCAGAAATAATCGAAAATAATTTTTGAATTATAATACTCTTTTAAAGGCATCAATTGTTCGTTTAACATCAGCATATTTGGCGCTACGAAATGTTTTCCCGCCACAAAACAATAATAAACAAATTGAAACAATTGCAATTGGATCATTTTTACTTCAAACATTGGATGGTTTTGTACTTATTCTTGATGCTACTGGTAAAATGATGTATGTTTCAGAGACTGCTTCTGTTCATTTAGGACTTTCACAGGTATAATATATATATATATATATATATGTAATCAATTATTGATATAGAATATAATTTATGCAAACAATATCAGAATAAGAAAATGACATTGATTAATTAATTAAAATTTAATATTTACTGGTTTGAAAACTAGTAAAATTTATTAAATTTATCCTGTTTTATTACTAATTATAATAAGAAAAAAGAATGGAAAAATTGCAATACCGAAATTATCCTTTTAAACTATAAAATACTTCCTCAAAATATTATTATCATTAATATTATTGAATGACTGTTACTATTATCGTTATAATTATTGTTTATTGTGATCATTATTATTATTATTATTATTATTATTATTATTATTATTATTATTATTATTATTATTATTATTACTATCTATTATTTATTA